TACCTGAAACTTGATTTACCTTCAGTTGTGACGCGGGCTTTTTGTTGGACAGATGGGAGCTGTTGAAACTGCATATGAAGAGATCCCTAACATTTTCGATACAGGCGGGGCAAAGGGTTTACCTGGAGATTCTGTTGAAAAGATCCCTAAGATTATAATTGCAAATGATAATGATATGGATGGTTCTGGAGAGAGAGTCTCCTGTTCAGTCTGTCTACAGGTAAAACACACTTGTACCTTTTGTTTGCTCTTCCTCTGTCTGTTATTGAATTTACTTAATTGATTCTGAACACTGTTTGTTGTTTCGTTGTTTCCAGGACTTACAACTAGGAGAGACTGTTAGATGTTTACCACAATGTCATCATATGTTTCACCTACCCTGCATTGATACATGGCTGTTGAGACATGGATCTTGTCCATTGTGCAGAAGGGACCTGTAGGTGACCATACTCTTGTAAATTATATAACATGGCTTTTTTTTACTTCATACTCTCTTGTAGGATTTCTCTATTTCTTTTGGCCTCTCTTGTACCAATTTTCCTGGAAATATAATGTAATTAGAGTATGTGCTCCTTTGAGCGTGGTCCTTGTAGTTGATTACCATCCTGTAAATAATTTTGAGCAATCATAGTGTACTCTACTTCCACAAAGTAGTACTTCTGTATTGGCGTGCCTCTTGTTTTGCGATCGCCTTGTGCAAGATAAGATCTACCTTGATCCTGATTACTTAACAGGACATATCTCAAGAACAGTATTTGGCTGACCAAAATTGACTAGTTTAATCTCAAGAACAGTATTTGGCTGACCAAAATTGACTAGTCTAATCTCTGTGTGGAATCCTATGCCTATTGTAAATTGTAACCTGCTTGTGTTTCTCTGTATAGACAAAAACTTTAGTTGAAGTATTGAAATGAATATGTTTAATAAGTGGGTGATTTTTCTCAATTAAGGAGGAAAGAATTAACTGGTCGGCCAAAATATCTTCATTCCAGGAATGTTCATGCACCAAACATTCTGCTGCTGATCTTTTAAATTACACCTCTGCATAAAGTCATACCTAAATTTGGTAGTTGCAGTACAAAAATATTATTTTTATTCAAGTCTCAACTTGGCAGGCCTGTAGCCAGTAGATATATGAGATATTTGTTTGGGCTGGCTGTGCCAATTGCAAGATATTGAGCTTGGTCCATGATTGTTGAATTTCATCAACAATTGTTAGACTTTCCCTTGACTTTTGCAACTTTATAAAAGTTAGTTATGTACCTTTTCAGCTGACTTTTGGAACTGCTATACATTAGAGGGCTGAAAACTCTTCCTGTTTTTGTGCTTTCGTGGCCTTTCTTTGTTTTAGTGCTTGACTTGATCAAGGTCCTTGTTTGGTCCTGTAAATACATCGGTGGGTTGCCTCGATCTATTTACTTGATTAAATTATGGTTGTTATACCAATGGTTATTGGTTGTCTTATGAACTAACAGAGTAACAGTAACCCCCACACCCCCAAAAAAAAAAATTTAGGAAGTTTTAATTTTTAACATTTATAGCCCAAGTTGGGAATGCAGGTCTGGTGCATTTATTGATGTTTGAAAAATTCAAATCAGTGTTATAGATGGCATAACGAATAGTGGAGAGCTAACATTTATGCAGCAAGTGGTTCGCAGTGAAATTACTTGTTTATTCAAGAAGACAAAACTACATCTACAGACTTATTTCTTGCGTGCAGGAAAATTAAAAGACAGAAAAATCTGAAATGAAAGCGCCTTACACTTCAACAAATGGAGCCTATCTGTCCTATAAATGCTTTATTTCTGTTGAGTAACCACTGATTTTATATTTGGTGGGTCATCAGTTTGGACATGTTGAACCATTTAAATGCTTCCCAATAAAGAACGTTATAGAGAGAAGGAATTAGAAAATGCATAGTGTTCATAAAAGTCTTGTAGATTCAGTTGGTCAAAGAAAGCTACTTCTCATTAGGGTGTGCATTCGAATCGGTTTATCGATAAATCGAATCGATTATTTGTTATCGGTTTATCGATTTCGATTTATCGGTTTATCGATTTCGATTTCGATTTCAAAATTTTCCTTATCGATTTATCGATTTCGATTTCGATTTTGTCCTCTTCGATTATCGGTTTATCGATAAATCGATAAGCTACAGTAATTTTTTTTAATTTTTTTTTTTAAAAATTTTTAATTTTTTTTTACCCTTATTCTATAATACCCTTTCCTTTACCCTAAGTCCCTAACCCTATTATTTCCTCTACCACATTTAAGGAATGATCATATTTAAAGCTCAAGTAAATGAAGTTCAAATTAATGGAAAACAGAATTAGCCGTGATGATGTATTTTGATTTTTTGTTTGTTTATACCGTTGGAGTGTTGGTGGCATACATTTGATCCCTTACTTTAGTTTCGTTGCATGTGCTTGTTGACACAATTTTTATGTTATAAACGGTGCTCTTCTTATTTTAGCTTCCTTTTGTCCATATTAGTTAGGTGTGTTTGTAGCGATATACTTTCTGTGGAATCCCGTAAATTTTCTTATTGGTGTAATCGATAACCGAATCGATAAGCCCCAAAAATCGATAAATCGAAATCGAAAAAATCGAAACCTTATTGAAACGATAACGATAAGCATATGTACAAATCGATAATCGATAAGTAATTATCGATAAGGGTCAAAATCGAATCGATAAATCGAATGCACACCCCTACTTCTCATTACCTTGCCACAAAACAAAAAGATTAAAGAGTACTTTCTAAATGAGTATATTGCGTTTAATTTCAAAATGAATGTCAATAAATGCCTATTGCGAGGCATATTGTGCGTGGTTCACGTTTCATCTTTGTTGTCGTAAAATAACTTGGTGGTAGTAATGTTTAATCACAATTTGAATTGATGTATCAAGAAAACGAATATGTTCTTTTTTCGACATGAATTCGAATATGTTAACTATGTAACATAGTTCCTGATTTTAAAAATGTGTACCAATTTTACGACTAAAATATATTAGGGGAACCAAAAAAATAAAAGAAATTCAATTCTTGCTATCCACCTTATCCTTCTCTTCAATATTTTTTGATGGAATTTGTCGTAGAATCTTTTTTTTCTCCTAAAAAAAAAAAAAAGGAACTGGATAGCTGCCTATGCCTTGAAGCAGAGAATCCAGCCCCACCAAATGGATAGAATACAACCAACGTAATCCACATTAGCAAAATAGCAACTGTCCCTTACGTTTCCGTTATCCTAAATGCCGCCGTGTCTTTGTCTCCCCGCCACTCACTCTCTCCCCTCCTCAAACCTTCTCATCTCCACGCGCCACCGCTTTCGACTCCCTAAACCGCCGAATGCTTCTTCACAGATATCCCTGAACTCGCCATTATCCAATCAAACCTCACCCCCTCAGCCTAAAACAACCGGAGTCATTGTTATTGGCGGTGGCTTAGCTGGCTTAGCAGCTGCAACTCGGCTTCAAGCCGATAATGTCCCATTTCTACTTCTCGAAGCTTCTGACGCCGTTGGCGGCCGTGTTCGCTCTGACGTAGTCGACGGTTATATCCTCGATCGTGGTTTCCAGATTTTCATTACTGGTTACCCTGAAGCTCGAAAAATCCTTGACTATGACGCCTTAGACCTCAGAAAATTCTACTCTGGGGCTCAGGTTTACTACGGTGGTCGCTTCAACACCGTTGCTGACCCTCTCCGTCACTTCTCCGATTCTCTGCAATCTCTAACTAACCCAATCGGTACAGTTGTGGATAAATTACTTATCGGATTGACTAGATTAAAAGTTTTGACTCAAGGAGATGATGAGATATTGAATGCTGAAGAAGTTACTACTATTGATTTACTGAAAAAGATCGGTTTTTCGGATGCAATATTAGATAGGTTTTTTCAACCTTTTTTTGGCGGGATTTTCTTCGATAGAGAGCTTGAAACGACGTCGCGGCTGTTCAATTTCATCTTCAAGTGCCTAGCTCTAGGTGACAACACACTTCCGGCGAAGGGCATTGCTGCGATTCCGGAACAATTGGCGGCGAAATTGCCGTCGAATTCGATACTGTTGAATTCACCAGTCGTTTCCGTTGATTCAGAATCGAATTCGAGCTCAAGAATAAGGGTGAAATTACTAAATGGAGAAATTTTGGAAAGTGAATTTGGGATAATAGTGGCAGTTGAAGAGCCTGAGGCAGTTAAGTTATTGGCGGGGAAAATGGCTGGAGAAAAAACAGCTGAGGTTCGACAACCGGTTCGGAGCACCGTTTGTTTGTATTTTTCAGCTGACCAAGACAAAGTTCCGGTTCGGGACCCGGTTCTGCTTCTTAACGGGACGGATAAAGGGATAATCAATAACATGTTCTTCGCCACTAATGTTGCTCCCTCTTATGCTCCGGCAGGAAAGGCACTGGTTTCTGTGTCGCTTGTGGGGCTATATGGTGACGTGGCGGATGAGGATTTGGTGGATCAGGTCGTGAAGGAGCTTTCGGGCTGGTTCGGGCAGTCGGTAGTTGGGTCTTGGAGTTACTTGAGAATGTACCGGATCGGGTTTGCCCAACCGAACCAATGCCCACCCACCAACTTGACGAAGAACCCGAAAATAAAACCAGGCTTGTATATTTGTGGAGATTATGTGACTAGTGCTACTTTTGATGGAGCTTTGGTTTCTGGCAAAAAAGCAGCAGAAGCTTTGTTACAAGATAGAGCCTTGGTTACAGTATAGCTAAATTTTGGTGTTGAGTTTCTTCAGTTGTGTAAACTAGAGATTTTTTTGGTGTTCTTGATTTATTTGTATATGATTCATAACCGTTTATAGCTCATTTTGATGCATTACTTGACCTTTTCTTTTTTTCCTTAAGTGTGCTAATTTGTATAAAGAAAAAGAAGACAGTTGGTTTGATTTGTTCTGTTGTTAATATATAATTGCAAGTATATTTGTTAAACAATGTTGTTTTACATTATGTGATAAATGGAGCAACGTGGACAGTTGAGAATTCATATAGGCAAATCCCACCTGCTTGTAATTGAGGCATTTTTGTTATTGTGGTGTTGTTTTACGTCATCTGGAACTGACGCTCTGAAACAGGAGAATAAAAGCATAATTTGCAAAACTCCATGTGGGGAAGATTGTTTTGTTTTGTTATTCAGATGTTAGATGTTTGGCTTATGTTTTTGGCTGCAGAAACAAGCTTGGGGAGGCACAGTGCAGCCTCCACGCCTGTAGATTTGACTCCTTCATACTGCATTAATTTTCAAACTTTCAAGGTTTGAGAAGCTTCTTTTAATGTTAAGTTTTTAGCTAGATGCCAATTTTTATGTAAAAGAACTTGCACACAACAGAGAAAAGACAGTTGTTATTCTTATCCAATTGAACATAGATTCAATCTTTTTGTTCTTAAGAATCAGGGAAGGACAAGGGTCTGATGCTCCTGGTTCTTGACTTCTTAATGTTTACAATTTGTTCACGACTAAATCATACAGTTCTGCCATGAATTTTATAGTAATATTTGCCCTATTTAATTATGAAACAGCGTCTGTCTTGCTAATACAATAATGGAGGTTGCTTTCAGTTGATGGACCATTGTAGGTATCTTTAATCCTTCTAATTATTACTAATATAAACCAGACAGTGATGTTTTTCCTAAATACAGTGTCTGATGCTGCCAGCAATTATATAATATCATGGAAACATGAGAGCATTATTTCATTGCAATTAGAAGCTTCTCCCAAGTTTTTATATATATACATATATCTTTATATAGTATGAAACAAGGCTTTTATTCTCTGGTTTTTTACTGTGAAGTCATTTTCAGATGAATAATTCTACATTTCTATGCGCATATGCATGTTTGCATGTACTTTTTGGCCATATGTGCCGCTTGGACAGAAGGATAACTGACCTAGTCTGGATTGGCATGAAGACAACAAATGAATAGATAGCCGGCAGAGATACTAATCCTTTTGAATAAGTATTACATGCCTACCTATTCTTGCTTTTGCCCAGTTAGTAAAGCAGTTGAACGCAAAGAAAAATAAGGCATGCAAAGGCTAGCAGAATAGAAGTGGGATAACCTAAAAGAAAAATGAATCAAGGTTTCTTTCAAAGCCAGCAACACATTTGGGCTGTAGTATCAGCTGCAATTTTGATAGTACTTTTTGGTTGCTCAATTTTTTTCTGCTTCAAGAGGAAGCTGTATGCATGCTTTAGGTTACCAGAGAACCAAAAAGGTTAGTGAATCATTCATTGATACCACAAGTTCCTATTTTCTTCATCATGGGATATTGAAAAATTAATCCTCCAAGTATTTATCCAGAATTTACGCACTGGGATCCGTCCTTTAACGAATTACTAGTAAGTTACTGTCAAATTGTTGACAGTGCATTGTTTTCAATGTGCTGAGAATTCAGCATTCCAATTGCCAGATACTCTGTTGAAGATAAACTAATCAAGGAATATAAATATAATTGATATCTATTTTCATTTATATAGGTGTAAACCGAGACATATATATCAGCTTCAATGTCTGTTCGGAACTGGTTGTATTTAGATTGATCTGATGATTTCATCTTTGATATCTGCTTCTGTAGATTTGATCTTCCTTTACTGACAGTTTCTGGGTAATTAGGAACTTTAAAAGCTGAACAGATGATGTTGAAGCGGTACCAGTTGGAACAATTACAAAAGGCAACTAATAATTTCAGTGAAGATTGTCTGGTTGGTTCTGGTGCATTTGGAAATGTCTATAAAGGAACATTTGATGGGGAGGAAGCACTAGCTATAAAGAAGGCACATACTGAATCATACACCAGCACTGAAGAGTTTGAAAATGGTAGTTGGAAATAACTTCTTCTCTTTAGAAGCCGTCACTGCATTGAAAATTGTGGTAATTAATACGATTGCATCTGCATGCAGAGATCAGGTTGCTCTCAAAAGTGAAGCACAGGAACCTCGTTAGTTTGGTGGGGTTCTGCCAAGAAGCTGGTACATTCATGATACTTATTATTTTATTATTTCCTCACCAGTCAAAGATTAATGCTAGGACGCTAAGAAATTTCAACATTCAAACAAAAGCAGCTGTGATGATAAAATAAAGCCAAACTTATAAGGCTCATCTTGTTTTATGCATCGACAGGGCCAAAGGGAGCAAAAATTCTGGTGTATGAGTATGTTCCAAATGGTTCTCTGCTAGACTACATCATGGGTAAGTTCCAAACTCTAGGCTCATGATATCCTGCTTAGTTTCTGAAATTAAACTTTTTTGGAAATGCTTGTTGTAGGGAGGGGAGGAAGGGGCTTAACATGGAGGCATAGAGTGACGATAGCCATTGGAGCTGCTAAAGGTAAATTTTTCACAGCTATGATGTGGTAGATCAATAGAAGATGAGAGGACAAACTTTTGATACACGTTAATACTTGCCATCCCAGGTATAGCTCATCTGCATGAAGGAAGCAAACCAAGTATAATTCATCGGGACATAAAACCGAGCAACATCTTGGTAGGAGAGAACTTTGAGGCCAAGGTCTCAGATTTTGGGCTTGTGAAATCGGGTCCTAGTGGGGATCAGTCACATGTTAGCAGTCAGATAAAGGGGACACCAGGGTACCTTGACCCTGCCTACTGTTCATCTCTCCATTTGACTTCATTCACCGACGTATACAGCTATGGTGTTATATTACTGCAGCTTGTTGCTGCTAGACCTGTAGTCGAGAACAGCAGAGGTCATCCTAATTTTCACATTATTGATTGGGTAATGAAAGTTTCAGGCTTGATTTTAGCATCCTGATATCTGCAATATGCAAAACATTCTGTTTCCATATGATGAAGTTGTAGATTCATGAAAATTCTGCTTTGTTTGTTATGCAGGCAAGACCTAGCTTGGAACGAGGAAGCATTGATGAAATAATAGATGCTAATCTCTTGATGGAACATTGCAACATGGAAATGATGTTGAAAATGGGACAACTTGGTCTGAAATGTGTGGTCAAAGTCCCTAGAGAAAGGCCTAAAATGACTCAAGTATGGCAAGAACTGGAGGCTGCCCTATTTTCTGCAGAAACTATCATATATAAACAACCTTCAAATGGTTCCTTACAATTAGCAAGCTTGTCAAGCGGATCAATGGGTCGTAGAAACCATCAACCGAAACAACTTGATGATTCTCAAAGCTCAGTTAGCATAGATGGCATTAGATTGCAGAGGTTTCACTTGGACATAGATCGCCTATCCTTTGGTAGTGCAAATTTGAGGTGCTTAGATGCCTATAGTATAAGCATTGAAGACGACTCATACGATCTGACAGGAACTTCCGAGGAAACAACCACGAGTGGAAACGAAGAGTTTAGGCTAACATACAATATCAGTTAAAGTTTGCTTAATGTAAGACACAGTATATTTAGGTTGATTTGGTTGTGTAGGAATGGAAATCTAAAAATGACCACCATTTGACAGTAAAGTTTGCTTACCTTCTTTGAATTGGCGGAATAGTAGAAAGGAAGGGATCCATACAATCTCAATTCTGTAGTTAGAAACTTTGATATTTGAGTTTTATTTCCATATCTTCCTGATCCTATTTTGCAAGAATTTACGCGTTATACTGCAATCAGCTATTGTAACTTGTGATCTTGCTCAAATGATCGGTTTCCAAGCCCAGGTGAAGTAACTTGGGACCTTGCTAACATTGTCGGTTTCAAGCCCTAATAAAGAAGGATTGCGGTCTAGTCAGAGTAAAACTTGTCAAGTTATCATGAATCTTATAATCTTTAAAATATTCTTAACTTGCTTGGAATTGAAACGTGATTGTATACTGCAATCATGGCAGAAGCCTTTTAATTATAACCTCGCATTTCGGTTGAATGTAGAATATCATAATTATTTGGAGGAAGAAGATTGCTGCAATAGAATTATCCAACAATATGTTCATAGTAAGGCAATCACAAGGGAGATGTTTTACCACACCATCTCCATGATAATCATCAATTATTCCAGTTAGTATTAATCAGCAAATAGCAACTTAAATCATGAAATTTTAATGGTGCAACTCCAAAAACATTGCACAACAAGTGCATTAAATAATGGATGAATTAACCAGTGAATTCAGATAAGGGAAAAAGCTGAACAAATCATTAAATAACGACCCGAAAGTCCAGAGAGAACTTTTATGAAAAACACGGAGAAATGATCAATTTTCAGCTGCTCCCCCACATATACTGTTGGTCAATCAAATCAATAATGTCAATAACGAACATGGTCCATTATGCTGTTTCTGGAAGGAGCTAGTGAACAATGGTATACTGCCAAATAATGTCAATAATCTTTGACTGTTGATAATCTAGTGCCAAGAATCTGAGATAGACACAATTAATTGAGTCTCCAGTAGAAATGTGTCGCCAAACTGGAAAACAGTGTCCACAATCAACAGTCAAGAATCCATTTCCAGGAAAAAAACAACACATGGTGGGTTGCAAGATAAAAGGCTATTGGCTGCAATAGCTCATTTCATGCACTGTCCTAAACGTCTTCTAATTTTGAATGATTAATCATGACGCGCAAATACTCAAGAATTCCATTATTTACAGTTCTACAGCGACATAGGGTTAAGTAACAATGAACAAATTTATTCGTTGGGATTCAGCTTTACACCATGTATGCGATGATACCTTTGGATCAAACGGGTGGTAAGAAAGGAAAATGAAATAAGCAGAAAAGTACATTCTCAAGAAAGAATCTCTACTGTAAATTCTTCAATCTTCTTGCCTGCTCATAAAGTTAAGAAGACACCTGTTCCAAGTTAAACGTTACCATTGAACATCAAAAACATTACATTGTACATCAAAAGAATAAATTAGTGCTGCACCTTCTGTTATTTCTCGTTAATCTACTACAAGATCTTGTCACGAGAAGGACACAGTAGAGTATACAACAAAGTGATAAGTTCAAGCAGTACCAAGTTATGTGGGAGTGGGAGCTAGACTTCTTGCTAGGAGGTTCACACCACCTCCTCTCAGAGATACAGAGGGCCCTCTAAGTGATGTGGCTCTACTCACAAGATTTGAATCTAGAAACACGACTATGACAGAGATATCATCATGAAAATGTCTCCTCACCCCACGATCAATCTTCTTCAGGTCAGAATACCTCATCTCCCTTTTCTTTGCCGCTTCTTGCAAAGCAGCTTTTACAAGCCGCCGAGCACTTCCCTGAATTTAGAAAATGTAATTACTTTCTCAGTAAGCTCAACATAGAAATCCATCAACATTCAGACGATCCTCAACCATATTCATGCCAGTAAGACACAGAAGTACATAATACAAAAGGGAAATTGGCAGGGAACTATAAAACATTTATACTTCCACTATTAAAGCATCGGAACAATGAAATTTGAAGTTCTTATTTGCATTTCGTTACTCACAAAATAAATGTTTAGTATTTGTTAATCTGATAGCTTTTGCTAAAGGATTTGTGCTCCTACCAATTTTTTATTGCCTTTTTCAACGGTCCGATTTTTATTCCTCAATTTGAGTGCAAGAGGTTTTTATAACATGAATAAGACTTGTCACCTGAAGAAACAGACCCACAAAAAAACTAATGCTTTTAGCAAATGGGTGCGCTTGTGCTACATATAAGAGAGTACATGATACGATTAGTGAAGACAATGTATCTTTTAGATGCAACGCAATTGTGTATCACCAAAAATGGAGTAGGTTACAATTAAAGCTTTGAGGGCAGTAGTGCATTACATGATTTACAAAGAGAGAAATATCAGGATATGCGTTTCAGTTTGTAATATGCTTAAAATAGACATGCACCGCCTAAGGAAATCAGACCAGCTTTCAATCCATGACTGTATAAAAAAATAAATTAAGAGAAGAATAAGAAATCTTATGCTTTCAAGTGAAGGATCATACGCTGTGAGAGCTATTTTGGACGATATCAACTGCTTCTTGATTGCTAAGATGTTCCCAAAGACCATCAGAAGCAAGTATGAGAAATTGATCATGTGGTTCAAGTTCATGCACTGAAATTGATGGATCCGCGCTCAATAAGGGCCTTTTGAAAGGTTCTCGCAAACGAAATTTTGCATACAATGGCTCCTTATTGTACTCAGCATTTTTGAGATATAAATCGCCAATGGATCTCGTAATCTGACAGATTAATACAATAGATTGAAACATTCTCAAAACAATAATAACATGTTCCGCAAGGTAATGAAACAAATTAATTCAAAAAAAAGGAATCCATGTAAAGCACATAATGTGGGATAAAAACCTAGCCTTGCAGTTAGATAATACAATTGGTAGTATAACCCTTCATCCATCCCTCATTAAGCAAACCAAAAGAGAAGGATAAGGTATTTTGGAGTATCAAAGAGAAAGCCACAACTTGGGGAAAAATGACAGGCTTTTAATTCACTTCAGATTCACGAAGGGTAAGAACCTGAGACAAAAGCCAGTATAGAGTAGGCGATAAACTCATAGATACCCTGCAAATGGAAGAGGATAAAATACTGATGCAATAATGATTGTTGTATTTAACTCAAAGGCAAGATGATCACACACTAGCGAACTAGAGTCTAGAGCACACTTGTCACCAGAAACATACCTGTATCAGACCCTTTACACGCCATACATTATGCTTCAAAACCACTATCTGTGGGTCATCGGGATGCATAGAATGTAATTCCTGTCTGACGGACTCAAAACTTGCATTATGCTCAGCTGAAAGCTGGAGGGCTAGAACTTCTCCTGTAGCCTTGACAAGTCTCCCCAAAACAGCCCGGGAATCACCAAGGTTCGCGACATAAAGGGTCCCATCGCAGATCACTCCAACCAGACAGCAAGATCCGACAGCAGCCATCTGAGGTTTCGTTGGCCACTGCTTAACAACCAGAGAAAGGAATCCCTCCTCTGTTGCTTGAAATGCTTTTCGTATTACGTCAACAGACATGGAATTTTGTTCAGCTGCAAACCCTGCAATATATAAGTTGCAGAGTAATCAAGATCAAGCTACTAATTCTACAATACTATCCAATAAATAAATACTTGGCGGATAAGCAGCCTGGTCAAATATGCTCACTCTTGAGATGCTGAAAGAGGTGATCATTGATATAACGTGATGTTTCAGGCCCACCATGACCATCATATACCCCGACAAACGTTCCATAGGGGCCAGAATCGAGCAAGCTCAGAGAACCCGACTCAATCTGACTTTGATCCTCCAGCAAATTGTTGGCCTGAACAACTGCCATAGAGAATTCACCAACTAAGTGCAGTCCACTGTCTTTGTACCAAAGAAGTCCATCTTGGCGTCCAGCTGAATCTGGACCAGTGTGTACATAACTGTCCGATGATGGCCGCCAACATGCCCTCAAAAAAATTATCAACTTTGATAACATCCCTCATTTCACCTTTGCTTACCGCCAATTCCTCAACATCCAAACGGATGCAAAACCTGTCCAACTAAAACCCCTTCCCCACTACTCCCCCTTTATCCTGGAAACAACAAATAAACAAGAAATTTAAGCATTAAACTTCACCTATCACAGAACAGAGCCGAAGATCATAGCTTTATCACAAAACCAGGAATAACAATAAGATAAGCAGGAACCGCAAACTAGAAATCTCAAAGATTTGAAAACAACTTGAGGCAAAAAACTGGGTCAAACTAACACATTACCGTCCAAAAAAGGAAGGGATCAATTACTAAGGTTGTAAAAGCCCAAAACCCAGCAAAACTACGTGTGCAAAATGAACAAATAGAAGTATGGACCCACGGAAAACACCATACAAAGTTCACAGCTTTGAGAGAATTTGCCTCCTAAATAAAGAAAAAAGAAGACTCACAGTTGTGATTAGGCCTTAATATGGTATCTTTTCTGGTCTGTTACTGAAGTGCGGCAAGTGAAAATGATGGAGATCTGAATAAAACAGAGCAATACATGTGGTTCTGAAAGCGTTAGATCTACAGATCCATCAAAAAATTAATCGCAGCTTATGCAAATATACGTTTAAAGAATATTAAACAGAAAAAAGATGAAGTCTTTTTCCTGTCTTTTGTTTTCTTTTCAGTTTTTGTTATCCTCTCTCTCTCTCTCTCTCTATTTTTTCAGTTGAACGTAAGAGAGAAGGAAGGTGAGAAATGAGAAAGGAAGACGAAAGATGAAGTAGATAAAAGAAGAAAGAGGAAGGGGATTTTTTTTTTTTTTTTATTTCTTTATTCTTTTTAGTCTTTCTTTTTTTATATTTCATATTTTGAGTTTTTTTTTCTTTTCTAAACTTATTGTCTTCTCTCTCTTGTGTTTCTTAGCAGACAAAAAAACCTTTAAAAAGAAAAAACCATCAAAATCGATGGCTGAAACCAGCAATGTTGGGTATCTATTCTTCTTTGAAACGCTTTAAATTTGCATTACGGTACATCCGCCTATATCACACCCCTTTTTTAGACCATATATAAATGCGAGATACTTGAAATCAGTCTATAAATGGACCAAATAATTTTCCTTTATAACAGAAGCTGTACGGATTAAAATTCTCTAATGATTTTGTTATTATAGTCACCAAAAGGTCATAACTTGAACGACAGTATCACTCATAACTTGAACGACAGTATCACACACTTAATAAGCTTCTAGTTATTGCTGTTTAATTACACTTTTCTTTACTCCCTTGTTAACTATACGTGGGGAAAAAGAATTCTCTCACTAATAATAGGACAAAAAGAAAAATTTAAGTTTTTTTTTACCGTTAACAGGAAATAAAGAACATATTTATGCTTGGTGTCATGTTTGGCCATGCTTTTTGTTTACCCTTAAAATCGGATAACAATTAAATTATAAGTGGATTTAAGGATATGTAATTTTATTTGGCACAAAACGATAAATATAAGAATTAACGATAGAAATTACAGTAAAATAAAGCAAACCAATATGATGAACAATTATGGCCCTTGAGCTAATTGTCCTCGAACCAACTGAATAAGCTAGTGAAAGTATGAACTGAACAACAGAGCTTGCAAGAGATAAAAATATGATATATTGCTTTGATATGCGTGAATGTAAGATGTTTACAAATGGTTAAGGCCCTCTTTATATAGTAGAGGAATCCTATATACGGTATAATTCTATTTATAGAAGGAAATTCCATGATTGACTAAATAACCGCCCTTGATTTGATCTGTTCTGAGATTTCTGCCACGGTCCTCGCCCGATCATGAATATCTCGGCGTTCTGTTCGACGTAGCAGGCCTCCTTCGATCTTGTTCGGTCTCTTTCTTGCTTTGGTCTCGATCGCGGCTGGCCTCGATCTTCATCAGCCATTGATCCGCGAGCTTATCGATCCCTCTTCGTACCATGTTCCGATATAACTGGGATCGGGCCTTGATCTTTCATCCCGACTTCGATTAGTCATACAAAATTAGCCAAGCCCGATTTTGACCATATACATATAGTCCCCTCGTTTCTTGAAGTGTAATGATAAGAAACGAATTGAGTCTTCGAATTTACCCTCGGTTTATTATGACGTAAGTATCGTGACGTAAGCGGCAGAGGTGACCGAAACGTCCCGTAATTTAAGTTCCCCAGGCATTTAAGGAGTGTTAGTTGCCAGTCGTCCACCGCCAGTATTGAACCGTCATCTTCAACTTATAAATGTATCTTTCTTTATCTTTTTAAACTTTACATTCAATCTTTTCTGCTCCAATCTTCAAATCTCTACATCCTTCAAGTTCTTCATCTACAAGTCTTCAGGATTTATTGCTAACCCCCTTTAAAGCACCAAATACCCTAATTCCCGTTCTTCCTTGTTCAAAAAAATGGCCAAAACATTTAAAAATATTCCGCAGAAAGAAAAGCCTCCTCGTCTTAACCGAACGACAAACAATCGGCGGCGGAGCCACGCCCTGAAGAGTTTGTTCCCGGGGGGTGTGTTATTGACTCTGATTTTAAGGTCGAAAAGACCTCCTCGGTTCTAGGCCGATGCTAGACCATGCCGAGGTACATATGCACGATCACCGACGACCTTCTCGACCAAGTCAAAAAGGACTGCAACTGGGTCAACAAGCACGTGGTAGTGCCCTCGCTTGAGGAGTCAATCACTACTTATGTGAAAGGGTTTCTAAGTGTTTACACTTACCCTTTTACATTGGGTCCCTTGGACCCGGTCATCGTGGACTTCTGCAAGAAATATGAAGTCACCCTTGACCAAATACACCCCTCCTTCTGGAGGATAGTGATACGGCTCCGCTATTTTGTGAGCCAAGTCGACGGGCTTCCCTTCACCCTCGACCATCTCATATGATTATATAGCCCTCGACTTTACCGAGGAGGGCTAATAAAGCTTCAGCGTTGGGCCTCCAAAGCAGCTTTCTCGAGCATAGATAAGGACAAGTACTGGGGATGGATGGGCCGATTTGTCCGAGTGAAGACCTAGAACCTAATCCCGGTTGAAAATATGCCATTTCCGGAGAAATGGAATATGAGACGTAAGTGCAACTCCCCTTTTTAACTTCTGCTTTATTACATTCATTCATCCTTTCTTATTGGTGCTTTATTTGATGCAGTCGTTGCCTGGATGCCGGGTGCGATTCCCCAGCTCGAAAACTGGGAAGCTTAGTGTTAAAATCGACACACGCTGAGTGCACATAGCGCGAATTAGCGAGAGGCCGATGGGAGGCCCGAAACCACGGTAAGTTGTCGTACAACTCAATAAATCTAACCACTGCCCAAATTTCTTCTTTGATATCATTTACCCTTCTTTCGCAAGTCTTGGGAAGTACGCGCCGATGAGGCCCCCATATGATCATAAAGAAGACCTTCCCCAACTGTCTGCTCTGAAATAAAAGAAAGAATGAAAAAATGAGAGAGGCTTCGAGCTTTACAAAGTTGGACGAGCAAAAGCCCAAAAAGAGACAAACCCGTAGCGGAAATGTCATCCCTCTAATAATGGACTTAGTCCTTAGGCTACGAGATGAGCCCGAAGAGGGTGAACAAGAAGAAGAAAATGAAGACAATTCCGGGCTGATAGCCCGTGCACGGGCTAGCACCGGGGCTCGAAAAGCTTCGGAACTAGTGGAAGTCGACACTACTCAGCCTAGGCCCGATAAGGTTGAAAAGTAGACTTCGGCCCAAGTCCCCGATCCGAAAGGAATCGAAGATGTTTTGCCTCGGGGCAAAGAGGCCATTGAAGAGACGATGGTTGCCGACGCAAAAATAGAGCTCGAGGCTCCCCAAGATAGAGGCAGTGCCTCAAAAGACCCACTTGGGACAATAGAGATTGGGGACTCCCCCTTGTTTCCTTCGGTCTCCGATTCTTTGATACGCGATGCATAAGCCATGGAAACTTGTCATGGGGAAGGAGCCCACGGAGAGGAGGATCTCTTCCGTGGTTTATTTTCCAAGGTAGAAGACGTCATCGATTTGAGTGACCTGGAGGTTCCGAGAAAAAGCTCGGGTGAGGCTTCCTCGAGTTCCAAATTGACCAATCGATTCCCGGCTCCCAATGTCAATCCCGGGTGCAAGCAAACTATTGTGATCACGGTCCCGGAAGATGCTCATGTTCTTGGTGCCCCCATAGGGGTGGCAAGCTACCTCCGGAGTCTGGTCACAGAAGAAGACCGAGCCCAAATAGATGAGGTGGGAGCACCTTGTCTTTTCAACAAAGCCCAACAGGCTCTAAACCGGGTAATCCTTGATTTTCATATCAATGCTTATACTTAAGTTTTCTTTTTCTCTGTATAACTTTTCCCTTCAATGTTTGCAGGCTTCGGTGCTTCATCATGAGGCTTTCCTTCGATTCCGGAAGGAACTGAGCCGTTACGAGGCCGAAATCCAGGGGCTGGCTGAGGAAAAGGAAGCCTTCAAACTCCTCAGCGAGCAAAGAGAAGAAGAGGCTAGAGGTCTCCGTGCTGAGCTAGAAACAGCTCAGAAAGAGTACATCGAACTGATGGAGCAGGTAAGGAAAATTTTTGAAGTTAGTGATGGCGATTCAGGCGTCTTAACTAACAATTTGAACTCGCAGGTCCATCAAAAATGTGACGTGATCAAGCAGCTTCATGAGGAGACAGATGCACTGAAAGCTGAGGCCAAAGGATGAAAGGAGAAGATGGACCGCTTGACCTTGGAGAAGGAAACTGCCTGGGCTCAACTGGCCTCGAACGAGAACTAGCTTCGGAGCTTGAAAGAGAATGCCTTGGTCCAAACTAAGAAAATTGAGGAGTTCCAGTCTCCGTTGAGTTCAAGAATTTCCGATCGAG